GAGTCCTTGAAGTTTCCACTGCTGAAAGCTTTGCACCCCACAACTCATCATGGAACAGGCAAGATGTCCAAATTATGCAAAAAATATTGGTGGGGTGACTGTTCTAAAATTGCTGAGATATCAAACCCATAATTCTGGTAAGACAATAAAAACCTCAGGGGATACATTTTTGGCACCTGCTAGATCATTTAAATACTTACAAATGGATTTCATTCAACTTCTACCTTCAATGAATGTTTTCTGGTTGTACAGAAACTTTCTCATGCAGGAAGGCCAATGCTATCACAGTAGCTAAAAGGTTATTTAAAAATGTGTTTCTCCTGTGGTACCTCCCTGGAAAAATCTTCAGTGATAGAGGAACCCATTTTATTGGGCAAATTTTAAAGCAATTGAAAAAGGTGCTTACCCAGTGACATTTCCATCATCCCTATCACCCTAAGTCTTCTGGAAAAGTTAAAAGGACAAATGGCATTTTAAAAACTGAAATTCGCAATTAATTGAATCAATTGGATTGTCTTGGCCAAAGGTATTACCATTAGCTTCTATGGCAATCAGATCCAATCCCACTGGGAAACACAGATTGACCCCTTATGAAATAGTTACTGAAAGACCTATGCCCTTAATAATAGAACCTCATTTATCTCCCACTCTCCTAAACTCTGATATGACTAAATATTGTAAGGCTTTAATATATTATACCACTGTATATTTTTTGCCAGGTTAAAGAAGCTTTTAACTTCTTTAACGATCCACCAACTGAGGACAATCAAATCCTCCACAATCTAGATCTTAGAGATTGGGTATTCTGTAAACAACACAGAAAGACTGCCCCTGAACCTCACTGGAAGGGACCAACCACACTAAATACTTCTCATCACCCACACTGCAGTAAAATTTCAGGGCCTCGAACTTTGGGCCATATCTCACAACTCCAAAGGGCCCCTCCAGACTTCTGGAACTGTACAGCTGTTGGAGATTTTAAGGTAAAGCTGACCAAAGAAGTTTTTCCCCAGAGGCAGACAGCATCTTAGTGTGGACAGCTTTCCCAAAATCGTGGATCAAGAGTTCTCTGCCATCATGAAAACCTTATCTTTTTTCCTCTCTTTTCTATTTCTTGCCATCCTGATCCCTTCCCTTTCCTTACAAGAAAATTCATGGGACCATAATATGTGGATGGCTTTGGCAAAGGCTTAGGCTCTAGCAAGAAACTAGAGAAGTTGCTGGATTTGTGGGCTAATGCCAAAAAAATCAGGAAACGATTCCATTAATGCCAATGCCTCTTCATGTTCCCAATGAGAGTCACCCTGGAACCCCAAAGGAAAAGTGGAAAGCTAGTCTTGTTACTTTAAACATCACTACTATTTGCTTTTCTACACTCACTGGAAACGATACCCTGACCTTTCCAATTAATAACCTAATTGCTACCAAATATAAAAAACCTGTCTGGGTGATGCCAGCACCAGATTTAAGACTCGGAAACTATCTATGGGTATAAGCAATTGCTTATATAATGTCACCGGATTAAATCCAGTAGGGTCCCTTTCTACTAGATGTGGTTACGTACCCTTACAGCATGCTATAAAAGGACCACATAAGAGTAAGTTTCCCACTGGACCTTGTTCAGGAGCTATTCAGTATAACTGGGCCCTGCTCAAATCCCACTAGATGGCCCCCCTTTTCAGCTCCTGAGGGCCTATGTGGGTCTATGGAGAATTTGCTTACTCTTTCTGCTTCCTCACTAGTACAGATCTTGCTTTTTGGCCTGGCTCTCTCCTGTGTTCCAAATAGCTTTCCACGGAAGTTCCCATGATATTTCCCATAATCAGAGGTCAAAGTGGTCAATAACTGAAATTAGTATGACCTTGAAATAGATGAAGATGAATTAGTTACCACCGAGGATGGTTTCCAGTAAGGTTCCTGGGGGCTCACTCTTTCTAAAAAAATTTTTTTGGTGGCTGGCCAGTACCAGGATTGAACCCTGGACCATGGTGTTATCAGCACCACGCTCTAACCAACGGAGTTAACCTGCCAGCCCTCTGGGGACTCACTCTTAGCAGTAATGAGGTGCCAGGTGTATGGAATTTAAAGCTAATTTGTAAGCTGCGAATTTTGGATTTTGTAGCCAATAAGGCCTCCCAGGGATTCAGAAAGGTACATTCTACCCTCCAACAGACGTTCATGTCCAATAAAAACACTTAACAGAACATTATGCTGCTTTAGATCTCCTCTTTGCCTCAAGTCGGGAGATTATGTATGGCACTGAATAAAACTGAATACTGCATTTACCTTTCCCCTGATTTTAATACTACAGAGACCTTAATTAAAAAGGTAGTTGATACTGTGGTTTCTCTAGACACCACTACTTAATATATTAAGGAAATTCCTCAGGGGAACAGCTGGTGGCTGGTTTGCAGGCATCTTGAAGAGTGTATGGCAAGCTTGGCTGTTCCAGGGTTTCCTAATTTTTATGTTTCTTTTCGTGGGTTTTCAGATCACTATGTCTTATCAGGCTAACTACAATATCAAATACTTCTTTAAATCAGGCCACTTTATAGCAAACTATGGTTCTTGAATGCCATCATATCCTGAATAAAGACTATAACCAATGGAACTCAAATACTGTTGAACTAACTTTATTGCCTGAACTCTGAAATTGTTTGGTTTTGATTGGTTCAGTTCATGGAGACTTCTGTTAAATGTTTTTTGGTATTTTCCTTCTGATAGCCATCATGATGGCCTCACTGACATGTTTCATTCACTCATAAGTCTTAAATACTCATATGTAGCCATCCTTTGTACATCAAATGGTCTCAATACAATTGGTGTAAGAAAAACATAAAGAAAACGTAAGAGTCATCTAACTAATTTGATGTTGTGATTTGCGAATTCTGTACTGAGATCAAACAAATCCACTATCATGGTAACAGAGGGTGGTGTCATTGTCCATGGTTTTGGTTTTTTTCAAAATTGAGAGGTTGATCAAAAGGTGGTAATTGTTAAATTGAATTAACTTGGCCTAAAGTGAACAGTTATCTAACTTAATATGTAAACAAACTCTAAGCTGATATAAGAGTATACTCTTGTAACAAGTACCTGAGTCTCAATCAATTGTAGCAGCTAAACTTGCAGCCAATCAGAGGAGGAAGGCTGCCAAAACAAGACCAAATAAGGCAAATACTGAACTGTAGCCAATAAGGCTATTTCTGTATGTCACTTCCTTTTCTTTGGCTATAAATACGGCCTGCACATGCTGTGAGGCACAGCATTATGAACTGCTTTTCGTCCTGGTGCTACCGGTTCCTAAACATTTTTCTGCACAATTAACCTTTGTTAAATTTAACTCATGTAAGGTTTTTTCCTTTTTACACAGGCAATACCTCTAAACTCAAAAAAAAAAAAAAAAAAAAAAAAAAGCAGTCCCTTTTCTCCACTGTGAAATTACACTATAAATCCTAGGCAGTCCACTTTTCCACATACTTTCCTTTAGAGCACTGGTTCTCAACTAAGGGAACCAGAGAACACTAGGTAGTGTTTGGAGACATTTTTGATTGTCACAACTGCAGGGAGGGGGTGCTACTGGCATCTAATGGGTAGAAACCAGGGATGCTGTTTTACATCCTACAATGCACAGGATAGTCCCACAGCAAACAATTATTCGGTCCAAAAGGTCAATAGTGCCAAAGTTGAGAAACCCTGCTTTAGAGGAGTATGTGATTAAAAAAAACCTTAATGATATATATATATATCATCTCTGGGAGGACATATAAGAAACTAATAAGAGTGATTATCTCTGGGGAGCGGAATTGAGGGTGGCAGGGGGAAAGGAGTGGATAGGGAGACTTACTTTTTGACAATATATACTGTTATGTGCCTTCTGAATTCTGCACCATATGTATATGTTACCTATTCAAAAACCAATAATAAAAAATAACCAAAAAATAGTCACTGTGGCTCATGACTATTATCTCAAAAGACAACCTTCAACTAAATGGAGAACAGAAAGAACAGGACCTATATTGTACAATGAATATGAATTAGGAGTTAGAAAACCTGAGTTTTATCATTCCAAACTGTGGAACATGTGCATATACTAAACCCTGAGCTTGTTTCCTCATATGTAGAATGGGAAGATGATGTGCCCTACTCAATGCACACAGAACTACAAAGATCAAATGAAATTATGCATGTGAAATACCCAATGAACTGTTAAGAGCCATACAAATACATTTTAATTGCTGGCCAGTTAGCTCAGTTGGTTACAGCATGGTGCTGATAGCACCGAGGTCCGGGGTTCAATTCCTGTACTGGCTAGCTGTCAACAGAAAAATAACAAAAACAAAAATAAGTACATTGTAATTATTTTTTAAAAGGTCCTGGTATTATGAAATAAAGACTAGAAATGATAAATTAGATCTTTAACATGATTCCTGTCATAAATTACATATTTATGATGCCTCCTCTAAGATGATAAGCAACTCAAGAGAAAGGTCTTATTATGATGAGCCACACAAACTGTAGGCATTCAATAATCACTTGATCTGCATGATTATAATATGTTAAGAAGAAGAAAAATTTTTTCCTATACCACTCAATTTGCTACAGAATAAGTAGAGGTGAGGAACTTAGGCTCTAATGGGCCCCAACAATAACCCTATGATTGGCTGCCTTAATAGAGGACAGTAAAAGCAGTCATCAATACATAACATGTCTAGTTTAACCACCAACTCTTTCGTCTAACAGCTGGGCCATGTGGGCATAGGCTAAAGAAATAAGAATCTTACTCACGAAATTATTGAGTCATGAGAATAACACCTTCAGTACTCATGTCTTTGAATGGCAAGAACAGCTGATATGTAGGAACGGCCAACAAAAATGATTAATGCTGATGACATTGTAAAGTTCTCTAGTTTTAGCAATTCTGAGCAGAATAATAAACGCACAGGCAGAATAAGTAAGGCATCAGTCACCAGAAAAGAAAAAGGAAATTGTAGGTATCTTACGTGATATACTTGTTATAGAGGATGAAGGCATGTTCTATGTTGCCTTCCTCAGAGTAAATGGAGGCCATTCGGATAATTTCAACTCCAGAGCGGAAGTACCGACGAGGTGGGATGTCTTCATTCACCTCCACTGCACTACCCAGCTGGGAGAGAGCCCTCACCCGGTCTTCGGGTGGGAGGCTCACATCTCCATGCTCAGACATCAGGACCAAGGTGTTCTGAGACAGAAAAGAGAAAACAGATGGCATCAACTCTATGGCCCCCATTATCCCAGCACAGTCTAGCACTCAGTGTGTTTATCTCACAAACCTCTACCTTAAGAAGAAAATAAGAGAAAAATGCCATATGTTGTGGCTCATAACAAATATGGTCTCTTTCCTACAAGAAGGCTGAGACCTTTAAGGAAGCCCAACAAGAAGAAAATAAGAGAAAAATGCCATATGTTGTGGTGGCTCATAACAAATATGGTCTCTTTCCTACAAGAAGGCTGAGACCTTTAAGGAAGCCCAAAACATGATGACGAGAGGATTGGCAGACTCAAAACCCCACAATCCCTGTGCCATAATTAGGTGGTACAAGGAGTATAACAACAATGGGCCACACGGGGTTCAGTTCTACCCTTCAAGTTAATCATCCCCCGTCATTAGGTGGCCCTGACGCAGCACCACAAGAATAGGAACAGTGACACATATTTTTTCCATTATTTCTCCTTCCAGCTACCCACTTCCACCCACCCCAGTACCTGTCAGAGTGCATTCAGTGAATTTGCATAAGGATTGTTAGCTGACTTCACATTTGAACATTTAAATTTAATCTGCGAGTAACTCACATTTTCTGTGTATACTTTTTCATATTTCATAAAGGTCAGTTAGGGGAACTGGTCTGGAAATGAATGTTGACAGTCATAACTCTGTTCACTAAACGAATATTCCAGTCAGTCTGCAACATCATTCATCATCATGGCAAAGAACTAAGATCTTGAAAACAACAATTTACTTATCTTCAAAGACTAAGCGTAATTTGAACAACAAAAGGCCACAAAGGTTAACTTGGAATGCAAAAAACCCAAAAACCCAAAACCAAAAGACCCCACAAAAAACCAACTAACCAACCTGAGAGTTTTCTCTCCCTGGGTCCAAACTACAGTAATTGTACAATCTTTGTAGATATTGTTGCTGTTAGGATCAGATTCAAAATTCCAATCAGATATCATCCCTCTCCATCGCTTCCAAAAGGAATCTGGGTATCTGATATACACTGAATTACAGATACCCTAAGCAGCATGCTCTAGAATATACAGGCTATAATAGAATTCATCTTGCACTTCAAGGCCCTGTGTCAACTGGCCCCACCTTGTCTTTTCCACCTTATAGTTTACTCCTCCCCAACAGAGATCTTTTTCTTCGGTCAGGATTCCAATCTGCCCAGGAACCCTCACATTTCAGTTTCATTAGTGTAGCCACTGTTCGTTTTTTTTGTTTTGTTTTTTTCTGTTTTCTACTCCGACCCTTCCTTCAGAGAGTCTTCTTTCAGCCAATTCTATCTTTAGGTCTCTTCAATATCCAGGTCACACTAAGCTTCCTTCCTAAAACACCCTCACTAATAGCACAAAAGCTGTGGGGACTACTAGGGATGCACAGGCGTTCCATCTCCCACGAAGCCTCTTCAGGGACGCAGAAAGCCAAGAGCAAATTTAAAACCTCCCCAAGTTTTCTAATTTCTCACTAATAGCACAAAAGCTGTGGGGACTACTAGGGATGCACAGGCGTTCCATCTCCCACCAAGCCTCTTCAGGGACGCAGAAAGCCAAGAGCAAATTTAAAACCTCCCCAAGTTTTCTAATTAGTAAACCCAGTCCAGAAGAAGAGCCCACGAAATCTAACTGAAACAGAGGATGCTTATTGCATCTCAGTACCTCTCGGGAGAGGTACTCGTAGGTTCGGAACAGAACCCCCTCCCGAGGCCAGCAAGCGGCTCCGGGCACCACCGGGTTGAGCAATTCCAAAGGGGAGACGCGGCATATGCAAATGGAGGTGGCGTAAAGGATTGACAGGGAAATGCAAGCAGGAGCCGAAAGGAAGTGGCAAGAATGAGCGGAGGGGACGTACACAGAGGAGAGGGGGTTATCAACAACTGCTCGCGGTGCCCTTCTTGAAGGCACTCAAGCCCAAATTGCCAATCCCGGGCAAAATCATCCAACGTTTTCGCGTCTTTCACATGCATTAGGCCGGGCAGCGCAGGGCCTGGTTGATCCGGGGCCCGCCCGCAGGGGACGGGAGCCGTCAGGAGCCTCGCGCGTGGCAGGCCGGGCAGAGGACGCGGGGAGGAGGAGGCTGCATGCCCCACACTCACGGCGGCCGCTCCCCTCCAGAGTCCGACCACACTGAGAGCCCCTGCCCCACCACATTCCAGGGACCCTTCCCCACCTTTCCCCGCGGATGACACTCGGAGCTTCCGGAAACGTCACATCCGACGCCCGCCCCGCCCACTCCCGCTTGTTTGTCAAATTACTCCTCGGAATCTAGGACCGACGGGGAGGGGGTGGGGCTAGAATCGTCACCTGAGGAAAATCCTACCAATGAGGGGAGCGCTCTCCGGCCGCCCTCTGGGTGAAGGAAAATGTACGGGGGCGAAGGCGGAGTCAAGTGTGTAGTTAAAGGAACCAATGACCTAGCTAACTTTTGTTTTTATTTTGATTTGGGGTAGGGGTTTCCTGCTAGATAGCTCCTATATCACATTCGCATAAATCCCGCATTCAAAGATGGAATGTTGATCCGAATACAACTACAGATTTGGCTAACTTAAGGAGGATTTATAAACCGGGGGACAGGAAAACTTTTGAATTTATTTTTCAGCTTGTGTTACTTTCTATAAATAATTGGTAACCTGAGATATTAGCAAATACCCTTTATTGCTTAGAAAAAACATAAGACTGGCTTTTAAAAATGTCAGAACACCTGTCAAATTTATTGAAAATGAGTGTTTAATCTCTAAAGGTCTCTGTACAAAAGCAATGGGGACACAAAGACCTGTATGACACAGTTCCTGCCCCTGAGGCCAGGACAAGGTGGTTCTATACACTGAATACAAACATAGTGGTACATTTTGCATGGAGGTGTGTGTATGTGTGGATATATACACACCCTCTTTCCAAAAAGGTCCTGCAAGCCTGCTAGTCACTCTGTCTCAGGAGGCCTTGTATATCATCACTCTGAAACTTTGTGCTTTGGTTTAAAAGTTTAACTCTCTGGGGACACTTTTGCAAAATTTATTTGGGAGCCTCCCCGTGAGTTTATTATGTGATGACATGACCTATCCTTTATTTATTTATGTGATGACAAGGCCTATCCTTTAAGGTCTAGCTTAAAGCCCCAGCTCAGATGTTACGTCCTTCACCAAGCCAGCGTCCAGATCTCTCATTTCTCCAGTGTTGTGTTGGGAGAAATATTAAGCATCTACTATGTGTCAGGTTCTGTTCTAGGTGTTAGTGATACAGTAGCAAACAAATCCAGCAGGTGGATACTTTTATTGTGGAAGTAGGGGAAGAAGCAGAGCCAGTGGGGTAGGGAGTAGGGCATCTGCTCCCACTGAGCACAATCTCTAAAGGAGCTCCGTTTTGTAAGGTTTAACTGAACAAGTTAACACAATTTATACACACTCTAGATGTTAAGATTATGCTGAGAAGACTTTAAGAAACTACAACTCAGACACACATGGAAGAGGGGTGTGCATAATCATAAACACAGCGATCACCACACGCAGGCTGTTCCTGATATTAGAAAGTAAATATGCTCAGTTGCTAGCAGTTCTTAAGATCAATGGCTAAGGGGATGTAGGAAGCAAGATCTAGTTCTTTTAGGGAGGAGATTTGTAAACGTTTAACAAAGTTTTTGGCATCTGGGGTGAGGGTCAGCACTCTTGGCTTTCTAAGGACCAGAAACAACACACAAGAAGCCCTTGACCAAGGAGAACATTTGACATTATTCTTGCTTAACTTGAAAAGTTGAAAACTGGACAACATTGTACATGCAACCAGGAAATTATGGCAACAAAAAAGTCTGCTAGGTTCTTGGCATAACTGAGAATATTCTACTTACCTCTGCCCCAAAGGTTGGAGGCTAAGCATTGACGGTATTGCGTCAGCAAATAGGCTTCAGCAGCTCACCTGGGAGAGAAAGACCAGGCTAAGAATTGAGATGCTCTTTCCTCTGGTGCCCACACCTGGCCATAAACACTTTTCCTGAATATTGCAGCCTCCGTCTGACCTCTCGCATACTCTAATGTCACAGCTTCCCGCACTCCTGCATGTTCATTCCTACCTGTTCGTTCCTGGACAGCGCAAGAGATTCCTAGAAGATGAAATTCTTAACTTGTAATGTAGTATTGGGGTATAGAAAATCTAGGCCCAGAGGAGCTTTCCGGGGGGAACTGAAAACAAGGAGGACTCCAGGCAGATGTCACTTCTCTACTTGTTACTCCTGTGATAAGTGCCATACCTAGAGGGGCAGTCTCATTCATTCAGGAAAGGCATCCATTCTTATCTACTACAATGCATTCTTACAACAACTAATGATCTTCTTGAAAACAAAAAGCAGATTTCATAACTTCTGGGCTTAAAACCCTCCAATGACCATGGCACTTGGAATAAAATCTGAACTCCTTACACTGGATTACAGAGTGATTTTTCCCCTGCTGCCTCTCTGACTTCATCTACTGCTCCTTGCTTACTACTCCCCAGCCACACCATCTGAACCTCTGGTGCTCCTCTCAAGACCTTTGTAAAGCTGTTTCCTCTTCCTCTTCCCGGGGCATTTTTGCCCTGATCTACACTTGGCTGGCTCCACATTGCCCGTTCATGTCTCCTCAAAGAGAACTTCTCTGACCACCCATTCTAAGTAGCTACCCAGTCACCCTCTATCACTTGGTTCTGTTTTAATTTTCTTCATTGTCCTTACTGTTGTCTGATATGGTTTGGGTTGTTTATTGTCTTTCACTCCCAACTAGAATATAATTCCCAGGAGGACAGGAGCTTTTTCTGACTCGCTCACAGCTCTATCCCCAGTACCTAGAACAGCTTGTGAACCTAGATGACACTCAGTAAATATTGTTGAATGTTCAAATGTTGTTTAGATGAATGGTGTTGCGCCGTTCCCAAGATGAATTACAGGGACCGGACTAGGAGATTATGATGATAGCTGAGATGAACAATGGAAAACAATGACCATTATGCTTTTGGGACCAAGTCTTCTCTCTAAAGCAGTTAGTGCTAGAAGCAGAAGGCTTCAAGGCTAGATGCCTTCATTAGTTGAGCAAATATTTGTTGAGTATCCGTCATGCTCATGCATATCCAATGTCAGGTGATGGATTTACAACAGTGATAAAAAAAAACTCAGTTTCTGTCATTGTAAGGTTTTCATGGATGAGGGCTTAGAGCCATCAGAAGGAAAAAAAAATCTTTAAAAGATAAGCAAGATTCTCAAGGGAATGCTAGGTGAGCTCCATGCATTGAAAAACCAAAACAGCCTATCTTGAACATTGCTGGGGAATGGGGTGCTCTGAAAGCAGAAATGGAATGTGTACTAAAGGCAAATTGCTCTCATTGTTAATATTTTGGCTGTGAACTAATTGGGAATATAAAATGACAAATAGAATTTTAAAAGTAAGTACTTGGGCAGGAAAAGATGTGGAATGAGCTGATTCAAATGAAGGGCAATGTAGCAGATGCACTGGAGTCTTTTAAGTTGGTGCATTATGAATGCATGCAAATTATGTCCCTTTTCAGTTGGAACTGGGATGATAATGAAGTTGTCCCTTGAGACGAAGGCTACAGTAAAACCAGTAACATTAAGGTGAATCTGTGGTTTGGGGCTCCACCTATAGTTCGTTTGAAAACGGGTATCTTCTGTCACCAAAGAAATGACTAGTTTGGAAAATGAGTTCTTATGCATTCTTGGAAAGATCTTTGATGTGATAGATGCTTAAATGTGCACATGAAGAATCAGCTTTATTTTAGACATGTTTTCTTCTTTTGTTACCTGCTGGTTAGTTGTGAGTTATATAATTTATTTCCTAATAATTCAAAGCCTTTGTTTTAGGTGAGCACCATTCTCAAGGTTGCAAATTTCAACAAGAGTTAAATGACATAAGAAACTTTAGGGCTATTTGAATTGGACACTTTGGGTGAGGGATTTTATCATTTTATATTTGGGTTACGTATTTCTTTTTTTTTTTTTTTTTTTCCTTTTTGTCTTTTTTCGTGTCCGGCAACGGATTGCAACCCTCAGTGTCGCGCCCGTACCGGACCGGGACCGGCAACGGGATCGCAACCCTTGGTGTTGCTCCCGCACCTCACTCAGCCAGTGAGCGGGACCTGGTCTGTACATGGGATCCGAACCCTCGGAGGGAGCGCCACCGCACTCCCAAGTGGTGCACTGTAGCAGTGCGCCACCGGGCCGGCCCGGGTTACGTATTTCTTTCCAAAAATATTGGCTTAGGAACCAGCACTACAACTTTTGAT